CAATGCGACTGGCACACTGTGTTTTTCTTTCCCTCAGGCTGCTCTGACACTTCCACAGAGGCCATTTCTTCACTGTTCTACTGTGGTTCCAGTTGTGTGTCTGATGCTGAAGTTTATTATGCATCTTTTCAAGCTGAAGGATTCGTGGTGTTTTCTACCCTGGATGTTGTTTATATCCTGGACTTCACATCATGTTCGAGATGGAATTCGTCACGGCTTGTGGATCTGTCCATTTGGAAAAACTGCGCCCTTGCCATACTGGCTTTATGTGGCAGTCACAGCCTCTTTACCTCATTTCTGTTCCTTTATTATGTATTTAACAGGAACAAGGGAACTGATGTCTATAAAACATGGGATTCATATTGATGTCTAAGGACGTTGCAGATGGTTGTGTTTGCATCGCTGAAATGATTCCCTCAGGTTTTCTCAGTTAGGTCTAACCTGAAACCACGTTGCTTATTATAGCTGCCATTCCCTGAGGCCACTGCTGCACAGGATAATGTTATGGTTAATGTTCCATTTAGCATAGCCATTAGAATCTTCTTTTGTTGATTCCCAAGCAGATTTGAGTATTTTGTGAGAAAAGAGTAATAACTGCTATTCCTAGATTTGAGTCCAGTGACACCCTAGAGACCAACAAGATTATCAAGGCATAAGCTTTCATCAGACAAAGGGAGCTTTGACTCACCAAAGGTTATATCCTGAAAATCTTGTTGCGTCTCTAAGGTGCTCCTGGACTCGAATCTAGCTTGCCTACTGCAGACCAACATGACTAACCTCTGCAACTGATATTCCTTTCAACATTCCTCTCTCTGTCTGCAGTCCATAGTGGCTGAATCGGCCCCAAGCTTTTCAGTCCTGGTTCCACAAAACAGGTAGATACTTTGGTTGGTTCCCAGACTCTCTAGCCTTGGAGGTTATAGAACTGGGTTGGGGTGGTGGGCAGGTTCCTGGAAAGGAAAGGAAGTGGGCATCCTCTAACCCCAACAGAAATTTGTCTTGTAAAGGTAAATAACAAAGAGTGGAACAAATGGGAAGCATAATATACTCTTCGTCTGTACTGCTAACGATGCTAGTGGTTTCTAGAGTTGTTTTTACTTCAGTCTCCTCTGCAGTACAGATTTGACTCAGTCACTCTTCATTATTTATATTTCTGTCTTCTCATATTGAAGATGTGTAGCACCATTTAGGTTCCAAGGACAATACAAATTCAACACTGCATGTTGTTGAGAAATACCCAACCACAGGTTTCTTGCCATTTTAGATTGTGATTAGACACTGGCAGTTCTGGGACCACCACTCCCTGAGGAGTATAAAATGTCCCCTTTTTAGATCATATAATAACAAAAGAGAGGAGGCAAAAACTTGCTGGTGACAACAAAACACTGGTGGGCCAACTGTTTTGTTTGTGTGTCCAATATGTTTGATTTTTAAAATCAAGGGATTTCATCTTGCGTATAGTGAAACAGATGGGAAAAATTTATTGTCTTTTTTGTGGTTTAATAACAGCTTCTTTAATTGTAACTAAATTATAATAATGTTGGAAAATTAACTACCAGTTCACTATGTTTTCACTATATTTTCAAGTTACTGAACAGGATTTTTTTTACTATAGCAATTTTTAGTTAATTTATTATTCCTTCTAGTTTACAGAAGACTATATGAATGTGCAGTTTTATTTCTTGAAGAGGGGTTATGGATGCAACCTGTCAAGGCTTGCTGCTGTGAGACCCCAGTGAATTGCTTCACACATTACTTTGATAAAAAAGCAACGTATGAAATACAAAATCAAAATATGATAGAATAGAATTAACTGGAGACTTCTGTATTTTTCGTTGTTTTGAGAGTTTTCTCTCAAAAAAAGCATTTGAGTTAAAAGTAAACTTCTGGTAGTTTATTCTTTAAAAACAAATGCCAATTAATTCCACTTGCAAGAGTTAGTTGTTGGGAACAACTTCTGTAGAGGTGGCTGTCTTTGGAATAGCAATATGCAAAGACAAAAACAATGAGAAGCCTTTACATTTTGTGCATGTTATTGCTGATTCCCAAAAATGTCATGGCCTGAGCTAACCTTCCCCCAGAGCTCATATATGGTGGATGTTTGCTTATCATGTTAGAGAGTAGCTATGACCATATTCCTATACACATAGAACACAGGATCAGCTCACTGGGGTGCAGAACGGGCATCGGTTTCAGACAGGAATAGGTTATGGGGTGAAGTAAGGATATATGTGAGTGGTGATGCAGAAGAGATCACAAAACATGGGTAAGCAAAAGGTCTGTATAACGATCAGAGCCTGTTCCCAGTTTAGATTCAGCTCAGAGGGCTTTCTTGCTTGATAACAGATGTGAAGTATTCTGTGCAGACACTACATGGCAGCAAATCCTCATTTTTGTGCCAAGTGTATACTTCACAGGAAATTAGTCTGAATCCTAACTCTGAGTGTATCTACTCATTCATCTATTTCCGGTTTCTTTATTTCTATTCATATGTTGCACTTTAGGTATGCACTTAATCTTAACTGCCTACATTTTTGGATGTGCACCTAAACATGTTATGAGTGGATCAGACTCAAACAGATCCATGCGTAGAAGAGATGGATTTGCGTAAGAAAAAATTCTGGATTCCCTTCATCTGCCGGTATGTTCGTGCATTAGGGTTGCCAGCTCTGATTTGGGAAAAACCTGGAGATTTGGGGGGGTGGAGCCTGGGGAGGGGAGGGATTTCAATGGGGTATTAATGCCATAGCATTCACCCTCCAAAGCGGCTGTTTTCTCCAGGTGAACTGATCTTCATCACCTGGAGCTCAGTTGTAATCCCAGGAGATCTCCAGCCACCACCTTGAGGCTGGCAACCATATCCTGTATGCCTTAGTGTGAATTGAATGCCACAGTCATTGTGGGAGCAGTATCGTTTGCACAGCTCATGTCTCCTTTACACAGTTTTGCTCAGAGAGAAGCCATGCCGTTAAAGAATTGTCAGTATTTTATATCATGATGAAGCATTTGAAGAGTTCAGCTTTCTGGTTCTCAAGGGTTTTCTTTAATAAGCTGTATTTGAAATCACAGGATGCCAAGGATCATTTATGATGCCATCTAGGTATTCTCGGGGGCCACAGTGGCTCAGAGGTTAAAACACTAAGCTGCAGACCAGAAGGTTGGTTGCTCCGCAGTTTGAGACCCTAATGTCAGGTGACGGAGTGAGCTCCCATCCTAGCCCCAGTTCCTGCCAACCTAGCAGTTTGAAAGCAAGAAATTGCAGGTAGATAAATATGTACCATTTTGCTGGGAATGCAACAGCGTTCCATGCGCCTTGGCATTTAGTCATCCCGGCCACATGGCCACGGAAAAGTCTTCAGACAGCGCTGGTTCTTTGGCTTGGAAACGGAGATAAGCACTGCCCCCTAGAGTCGGATTCGACTGGCTTTCAAGCAAGGGAAACCTTTACCTTTACTTTAGGTATACTCACCTTGGTGTTCTCAACTGCTGAGTTTCCTATCCCCGTCACCATTACAACTTTGTTCTTTGCTATGTGTTCTGCTACAGGTGAAGTTTAATTGTTGCCACATGCCTCGTCTTCTGTAATATCCAGTCACAGAGTGGAATCTGGAAACCTTGTAAGAGATGCTGTGATCAAATTTGGTGTCTGTAAATATACTCCCTACTGCTGCTTCTCTCTATAAGTGTTGCTTAATATGCAGAAGGAACTTTAAAAAAAAAAGCTAATTAGATTCACTTGACTGGATTGGTTAATGAAAGAAATGAAACTCAAGGCAGTGGTGGCCACTACCTACTCCACTAGCCCATACCCCAAAGGGTCTGTGGCTGTTTCTGCGACAGGAGTAGCTAAAGCTTGAATCTCTAGTAATTAAGTTTTCCTTCTCCAGGTATTCACAATCTCTTAACGAGCACCACAGTAGGGAGTAGATAACATACACGCTGCTATAGAACGTGTTCTTTTTTTATCTGTAGACCCCCACCCCCCATCCTCTGCTGGTCATCTTCCTGTTCCATTATCCTCATCTTGCACAGCAAGCTCTGAAGCAGGGCACATTTATTTATTTATTTATTTATTTATTTATTGTCCGCTTTTCTTGCTGAGAGTCAAGGACTCTGTTAGTACAGGGAGGGGGGACCATGGCCATCTCCGTATCACTTGCACTGGGATCTGTATTTGTCTTTATCTACACTATATAGACAATCAAACCTGCACTGGAATTTCAGTTCCTTGTCCTGGGCAGCTAATCATATTAATACTAATACAGCTACTGCAAGCTGATATTCCGTTTTAATTGAAAGAGAACTTATAACACTTTCAGCCATCTTTTCTATGTTGAGCAGGAGTTGTTTAGCACCATGCCAAAAAAAAAATCCTTGTTCTATTTTTTTTTTTTTTTAATGAAGAGACTATTTTCCTAAATAAAATATTTTGGGAATGGCTGTTTTATCCTGTCTGGCACATTATTATTGTGTTGAGTAGAACAGTGTTCAGTTTAATGACTGAAGCTATAGAGAGAAAATTGGCACAAAGCAATTAATTAAAACAGGAAAATAGTTTTACTTCTCAGATGGCCTTACAGAAAACAGTGAACAGTAGCCCTACACAAAAATAATACCGTGTATGTGTGGTGTTGTTATATTAGAGTTAATATGCTGAGAACCAATACAAAAAACCCTGTGTGCTGATGTTTGGGTGCCTTAAAGTTTTGTAATTCATAAACACAGCTTATTGATCATTACTTGGGTCAGAACTATTCATATACTTGGAGTAAAATTATTATATGAAGCAATTCTGCAAACACTGATTATTTTAGAGTGACACATCTCTGGATAAGTGCAGGAATGTAACTCTGTAGTAAATGTGTTTAATCAACATGGGTAGTTCACCAGGGGTTGGTTATCTGGGTTAATGGCTCCTAATGATTTAGTGCCCATAAATGCGCTGTCTTGCTGGACAGGAAAACATTGATTGTTCTGTAGCTGTGTAATGCCTATATTATGGCAACTCGTAGAATACATTTATTTCGATACCCAACAACAAAAGCACAATTTGGCCACAGTTACCCATATTCTAATCACATCCACGTTTGAGCAGTTTAATGCACTCTACATGGGACTGTCTTTGAAGATAGTTCTGAAAACTCTTTCCAGCTACAGCTGCAAAACAGGTAGCTGTTGTGAGCTATAGGGTATAGTGCCGTGAACAAAAAATTAACTAGCCAGCATTTGGTTTCCCAGTACAATTCAAAGTGCCGCTGACCTATAGAGGCCTCAACGGTCTGGGACCAGGATACCGGAAGGACCCCCCTGCTGCCATATGTACATGCCCAACAATTAAGATCTTTTACAAGGTCCTGTTGTGTGCGCTTCCGG